ACTCTGCCCACTCTACCTTTTTTTCATTTTTTAAATGTATATCCCTGTTTTAGTGAGGTTAATTTGCTGTGATGTTGTATATGCTCAGAAAAGCTGCATCCTTTCCTTTCCTTTAGCAAATCTCTAGCATTTATAGTTGTGAGGATGTGCCTGAAGCTGTGTGAGAAATGCCTGGTAAAATCACAATAAATAGAAAAGAATTCCAGTAATTAGGTTATGGGATTACAGTGCAGCTGTAATTTCTGTGCAGCTGTCTGCTTTATCTCCACTCCTTTGGAGCTTTCCACAGAATACCTTGAAAATCTCTGGGAATTTCAGCACTTGGAAGAATGTGGGGGTCTTTTCCTCTGGAAAGGTCCATGTTCAAACTAATAGCCTCAGGCCAACCTAAACAGATTGATATGTGCAGATGTACGTAAATCTTTACTGTTGGTGCCACGACGACATCTTCATAGTCAGTCATATTGTCCCTGTACCATTTATGTCCTGTCTTGTCCTGGCATGTGATTCAGGTAAACAGACTGCATCATAGCAGTCAGTGTCCATTCTGGTCACATCAGGACCTTGGACAGTGCACTACAGGAGGGAATGGCTGGGCTAGTCACCCATAGGGAGCTGTTGTCCTAGCAATGCACTGCAGTTATATGAGGCCTTAACAGGCCGGCAGAACTTGGTCTGTGAGGTAGCTCCACTGATTACAGATGAGTACCGCAGTTCTTAAAGGAGCAGTATCTGTTTCTACAGCTTCACGCTCCTGTGCAGCTAACAGACAGGAGAAGCTGCTGGGCACTCATCTGCAGGATCAAATGTTGCCGAGAGAGCTACATCCTCAGGCCTGGAAGATATGGATGGGGGCACTGTTGATCCCTCCCCCCAAAATGAGGCAGGACGTATCTGAATCTGAGTCCTCCTTGAAATGATACTGAGCCTCAAAACCAGGATGCATTAATCCCCAACACCCGTATGCAGTTATTTATTAAGGGGAACTTTATGCTTTGCTGTATGCCTTGCCTGAACTGTTCATGCAGTTAAGAATAAACATTTTCGCAATCAACTACCCAGAGGTATCTTAACATTGTGCCTTAGAGCACAACTTTGTCTTAGATAGATTCTAACAAATTATTTTAGTACTTGCTGTCTTTGATATTTTAGTCTTTGCCAATTTAAATTGTGATTGTTTCAGCTCTTAATTTTAGGTAGCATTTAACTAGATCTTGTTGTGTTTTATTTTATATACATGAACTTTTTTCTGAGAGCTTTGGCTGTAGGGTGACTCATAAGTCTGAAGGAATGAACAAAACACCCAGGAAGTCCAAAATAACTGATCATAATGGCAAAACAGCGATCTTTAGATTACAAATGTAACTTGGCTGTTGATTTCAGCCTTGCTGTGTGTCTTATATGGCTTATTCCCTTTCGACATTAGTTGCACAAGCAGAATATGTTAGACAAGTTAGGAAAAAAATCGAAGTGCAACTTTTTCAAACTAGGAGAAATCTACATATTTGCTTAACTTTGTATAAATGCTGTGCCCCTGCCGGTTCAAGCTTCTTCTTCTTTTTTTCCTTGCGGCAGAATTACCCATCTGGGAGGAAGCACAGTGTTCTGCTTTTTTTCCAGTGCTGTTCAGTGCCATCAGTAAAGCAAGCAGAGGGGATAAGTCCCCTGCCTCCATATGTTTCTTCTGTATTTGATGTTTCTTCAGTTTGATCTTTGCTATGATGTCCTTGCTCCTTTTATGTAAAAATGTGAATTCTCTTTACAATCAATACCTATCAAAAGTGAACAGGAGCATATAGTATAGATATAAGCATGCTTCACAAGGATTAACCAAGAAATTATTTGAGCTTCCCCCACTTCAAAACTACAAAAACCTGAAATATCTCCTGAGCCCAAGGGCTGAAAAATGCTTTCTTTCATCGCAGAAAGACCTTTCTGTTGCACCGCTCCCCATTTACTTACCTGGAAAATGGTGATGGATGGGGAGAGCAGAGGAAGAAGGGTTGTGCTTTCCCTCCCTCCAAATCTTGTGCAGCCCTGCAGTGTGCTGGTTAGAAAAGACTGGCAATTCAGACTCTGCCCAGAGTTTATTACTTATTTGGGAATTCTTGTCTCTGGGGACTCATTTCAAATGATTAAGCTAAATTTAAATAAGCTGAATAATGAGGTCTCATGGGACATTGGTAGATGGATATCTTTCAGGTTAAGTTTATGTGTTACAGTAAACACATGAAAAATGAAATAAAATATCTCAAATTGCCTATGTTTGTGGTATTTCTCTATTTAAGATGGCAAGTATCTTTTAAAGTAAGTTTTTGTTTCATAAATTTCTACAGGGCCTCATTCCAGCAGAAATATCTTTGAAAAGAATGCAATTTTTATTAAAGAGGGTAGGTTTAGCTTCCCCAATTGCTCTTTATATCATCTGGCCATTTGCTGATTATTACTGAATTTTGAACTTTTCTGCTCAGATTAAAATTTTCTCCCTGGTTGGTTTGGAATATTTATGCTTGGATCCTTTCTCCAAATGGATTGTACTGAGTTTTCTGTATGCTAAAACAACACATCAAGCCATGTTTTGCTTTGTTTTGACCATCAGAATTACTGTTCTGCAAACCAACACATTTTCCAATCACTTCAAATCATCAACAATTTTTAAAGAGCTTCCTTTTACATCATATTAATTATACCGAGTATAATAGAATTTCCATTTGTCATTAAATTCTTCAGTTGGTCTTCTGTTTACATAAATAGTTAATTTTTCTATCACTGCATACTCTGCCAGCTTATTTTTTCAGCCTTCAATTGTTGGGCATTTTGGGGTTTCCCATTTAGAAGCAATTTTAATTCTTGCTGGAGTTGTCATGTATTTAAATAACTGACATGTTCTTTGAAAATGTTTAGGGCATTATTTTCAAAAGCATATTCTTAGGACTCATTGGAAACTTAGTTTTAAAGGGTTTGTTTTGTTTTTGTATTTATGCATGTATCAACTTCTGGAATCTTTTAATGGTTTCAAGCTGATTTTTCCTCTTGATCAGTTTGTGTTGTAAGTCCCAGTCATACCTTCCTGTCATTCTCAGTTTTCGTGGCCATGCAGGCAACCGAAGCGTCTGTTAGGATCCAGGTTTGGCCTCACCACCTTTGCTGCTTCAGAGCCCCCTTTGTTTCTGGAAGTAGCAATCGGCACTGAACAGCTACGCCAGGCAACCATGCATGTTTGTTCTATTATCAGTGAACAAAAGCAGTATATAGGGTCTTAAGCAAGAATGGAATAATGAATTGGAGCATAATCAACAGTGTGCTTCATTGGCATCTATTTCAGAATTTGTGACTGATCTTAGCTTGCACTTCATTCAGCAAACACGGATGTTTCGGTTATTTTGGATGCCACAACATCTTTTCAATGAGGGCTTCATTAAATCAGCCACTGTTGGAGGTGTTGGAGGTGCAGTACAGCTCACAATTCTTGTACTCATACATTTTATCAGTGCCCATTGGCTGTTTGTTTTCAGCACAGCAACCTGCAGTGGGCGGAGGACTTGATGAAACTTTCAGTTTTTGAATGAGTGGTTTCTAGGTGTAATTTACAAATTGGCAAATACATAGATATTTGTGCTGCCTTTGTTGAATTCTATACTATCTCCAATAACAGTAGGATATCTTGCTATATATAATCTATATACTGTAAGGACACTAGTATATATGCATTCATTGTAATAGGTTTACTTAAATCTCATGTAAGAAAATTGCAATTTTATTTTACCTTTTTTAGGCTTTTGGTTTAGATTTTAAAATTCAACAATAAAAATAAGTTTAGAAAAAGAATGAAAAAGAAAAGCCTGGAGCTGTTGCTACAAATCTGCTACATCTCTGAAGCTTCCCAGGACTTTGAGACCCCCAATATACTGTTGATGTGGCATCGCTAGTGAAGGAGGAGAGATGAAGGGGAAAAAGCCAGTTGCTGCTTGCTAAGTTACTGCTTTTGCCATCAACCCTTGCCAGAGCTGGGGAGGGCAGAGTCTTGTTTGGGAGTACTGGAGGGATGGGATGGTTCAGTGATGTCAAGGCCTCACAAGAGCAGGTGAAAGGAAAGCTAGGAATTCTTTGGTACATATTTTAATCCAAGCTGAAGAAAAGTCAGGGGCTGTACCAACTACTATCTTGTTTGAAACAGGCTTTGAGTTCCTTAAGTTTGCATGCAGACCTGTATCAGGGAACATTCATCTGTATTCAAGTCCTACTCTGTGCCTCTGTCCTTATTGCTACCAGGGTACCTTTGTAATTCATATCAATGGTTTACATAAGATCTCTCTCTCTCTCTCTCTCTCTCTCTCTCTCTCTCTCTCTCTCTCTCTGAGTGTGTGTGAGAGAGAGATTTTTTTCATGTCATGAGACTAACACCTATGAATGTTAATGGATTTTTCCCCAATTTGTGCTTATCTCTTACTATTTTTCTTTTTTCCAAGGATAAAAATGTTTCCATGAAATGCTCCAGCTAGCTTTACTTCAAGCATAAATTGTGTAAACCTTCACTAATCCCTTTTTCTGGCAAACAGCATAGCTGATGGAAATGTATTTGCCACCAGAAGCACGTTGCCTCTATTTCCATCAACTTTAATCACCCTTTTCTTTGCCCAACTTGAAAAGAAAAAGAGTTTGAAGATCCAGTACTTTGTTTTCTGCATATCTGCCTCCTAACAAAATTTAAATGAGTGGATTGTTAGTCCAGGAAAAATTTCCTTTGTGTTGTTAATGTTCAGTGAGATATTAGATGAGGAAGCTTCATGGAACAACATCCTTTTCCTCTCAAGGGTGTGTGATGGTTACAAGCTGCCTCTTCTGACTTTTCATTTTTCAAAGGCAATTAACCCTTCTGAAGGCAATTAATAAAACCAGGGATCTTCAGTCTCAAAAACAAAGAAGATATAAAGAGAGTGCAAGTTTGCTTTAGCGTCCCTCTTGCTTTTTGGCTGACTTTTCCATTTTGGTTCTTTCAGCACATCCAACATTCATTGAAATCTCCAGCATGAGGTCAAACATGTTGACAAATGAGTGATTTATTTCCAATGAAAGCAAGCAGCTATTCTGAACCTTCACAAACTTTTGGGATCACGGTAAGAGTTTTGTGTTAACTAAATGCTGCATTAGCACCTTGCTGCCTTAGAAATCATCATATGAAAGGACCTTGTAAATAGATCAGGGGGAGCTTTAGTTAATTGCTTGTATCGGACAAAACTGTAAATCAAAGTGTGGTGTCTAAGAGCTGATTCACATATGCATGTATATCCACCTGTTATTTGCAGCGGTACTTTCTCTTTTTGAAAAACAGATGTTTGAACCTGGACATCTGGATTGTTTCTTCTCTATCAAGCCAGAAAAAAATACCCAACAATAAACTATAGGTTAGGTTTCTGGCTTATTGGGGAGAGACAGGATTTTCTCAGCCATTTCGATTTGCAGTGAAAATGATAGGCAGCATTTACAAGCCCATCTACCATGAAGTGCAAATCCCACCTGTTATCTTGGCTGCAGGAAAGCAGCTGAAGAGCAATGCTAGAGATAGATACTAGGTAACTAAGCCAAAGCGAAATGTATAACTTCAGGTGCACTTCGGTTTTGCTAGCTTTTGAATGTTCAAGTATTAGATACAGTGCTTAATGGGTGACTGCTTATGTTGTCGTAAGTTTATAAATCAGTAATGGTAACTTTTTACAAATGACCATTCCTGATCGGTATTTTTGTTCGAAAAGGCTGTCACTTGAAAAGGTGCAAGAGCTTTTAAGCTATCTATTAAATACACAAGATCTTTTAAACATTTCAACATCACATAAGAATTGATGGTGAGAGCCGTTTTCTAGTTACTAAATGATCAGGAGTAGAGTGAGTCACAAATATGAAATATATAGTTGTCTTTCTCCCTGACTCCTGGCAGCAAGAAATGCCAGATTTTGTTTCTGTTGATGGTCACAGCTGTTTTATTGCTCATTATTTATTTCTTACTGTTTCAAATGTAGGAAAAGGGATCTAAATCATATGGATAAGGGAACTGATTCCTGCACTACATTACCAATAACTATGGGGTAGAGTTAGCAATTTCCAAGAGAACCTCTGTGGTCAAAAACATTAGTTTTTGTTGGATGGGACCAATCCTTGGGGCAAGTGCATGCCTTCCAACAGTGTTAGGGAACTATCGGCTGCTCCTTAGATTCAATAGATTTATGCCATCCTTCATAAATGCATCCAGGAGCCCAGGTAAAAATAGGATGCTGGTGCTGGCTGATCAGTCATTCTGTGTAAGACGTTGCTAGAGTCAGTCATCCTCATTCTGGTGCTGAAAACACCAAGGCAGGGGCAGCAAGAAGCGGCATCCAATTGCAAAACAGAGAAAGAACACTGCCTCCTTCTGGCTTTATGCAATAAGGGAAGTCCACAACAGCTGTAGCAGGGAGGTGAAGCAGTAGCTGAGACTTATTGAGCTGAATTGATAAAGGTTTGGGAACACAGACAGCAGAAGGTGAGGGTGAGAGAGAGAGAGAGAGTGGGGGCAGGCAGGTGGGCAGAGGAAATTTCTTCAGTCACTGCCCAGGAAGTTGCAGGACAGAGGCTTTGCCTGCAAACCCTGCCTAGACCATCATTTGTTTTGAAGGCTAGGAAGTCCTCCCTTGGCAGCCTTTGGAGAGCATCGCCTGCACTGAAACCTGGGAGCTTAGACTGTGTTATGAGCTAGGTGTCCCCTCCTAAACGAGAGAGGCACTTCAGTAATTATTGGAAGAGTCTTTATTCCATACAGAAACAACATATTCACAAGCCTCGAAACAGGCACTCCCGGTGGAAAGTGGACCCCTCGCTCTGCCCCCTTCACCCAAAGCCTTGCTTATGAACCCTTTGGAGCTGAGTTCTGGAGGGGGGCACACTGTGGAAGTGGGCACGCTGATGCTTTTCCCATTGAGCCCCTAATGGGTCTTGCTGGCGGGTGTGTCGACGGGCCCTTGCGTCCCTGTTTCCAGGGGTGTCACCCCTCCCCAGCCTGTTCTCCACCAGCTTCTTTTCCACAATCAGGAGTGGGAGGGGACTCAGTGGTTGGCCTTGTAGTACTTTGATCCAGCGCTGGCTCAGGTGGGCTCACCAGGAGAGTTTGGGCAGCCGGGGCCTGGCTAGTCTCAACAACTCCAACATCAGAGTGAGAACTCTGAGCCACGGCTGGTTCAGCTCTCCGCTCCCCCTCCTCCGAGTCTGAGCTGCCATTCCCACCAGAGCCCTCCATCTCTCATGCATGCCTGGGAATCTCAGCCGAGCGCACATGCACGGCATCCTGTCTCTCTGAGGACTGTGGGGAGACTCATTAGTGAACTTGGCCTGAGAGCTACTTCTCCAGATCTGCACAGCATCTGGTTTGGGAACTTGTCATCACTAATGAGTGTCGGAAGAGGAGGTCCTCAGCAGCATGAACTAGATCTTGGACTTCCTCAAAGAGAGCCACGAAATAGAAGCACCCAAAAGGCCAGGTCACCTGAAAGGAAAAGATTGCTGAGCTTAAGGTTTAGGGTCATTAGGGAGGGAGGCATAATTCCTTTATCTGAATTATAAAGCTGAATGTTTTCCTGTCTTCTGTTCTGTAACTAGAAAAAAAAAGTCTTAAATGAAAACGCCAGCTTAATTTATTGGTAGAATCCTGAAATTATGGAAGCTGTGGAGGAGTATGAGTTTGGGGTCACAGATGCTACTTAGGTACGGGTGCTGGATTGCTCCAATATATTCTGTGTGGAGCTGTCTGTATGGGTGGTCTTATGCTAGTGCAGAATCAGCAGCTCAGCTGTTGTCAGGAGCTGCCCCTTTTCACACGTGACAGCTTTGCAGAGGGAAATGCTCTGGCTGCCTATTTGCTATCAGGCCAGGGTTAGAACAAGCTTAAGGTTTGATCTTGCTGTGCAAAAGTCTTACACAACTTCGAAGCAGGGTACCTGGAAGAGTGGCATGGGTGGCACATGCCTGGAGGTTCCATGTGGCCCTGTGGCTCAATTGGAGGCTGTCCGAAGAAGACACTGCAGTGTGGTGGCTCAGTTTCTGTGGAATTCCCTGCTCTGGAGATCAGGCACCGTGGCACCTCCTGGAAATACAATTATTTCAAGAAATCTTTGACTGGCCAGCCATGGTTTTGTTGACATTTTGCTTTAAGATAGTTCTTTCTTCATTTTTCTTTTTACTGCTCACCATTCTGAAATCCTTTAGTTGTGGAGCAATATATAAATGTTGTAAGTGGTTGGTCTACATGAATAGGTGGCTGATCCAGACCGGATGTGGGAAAATATTTAACTTGGAGGAATTGCCAATGAGTTGTGTTTTAAAAACCAAATTCATCTTGTAATGCATGAAGCTATGCAAAGGTTGCTTCATAACCTAACAGCATCTCCAGGCTTTCTGCATCAAGTTTGAGAGTCAGGGTTGTGTCATGAAGTTAGTTGGCAATATGGATCAGCTGTAATTGCAGTTTTGAGTGCCATCTTGGAAAGTAGTGTGAAAGTTAGGCACTTTAAAATTACAAAGATGTAGAAAGAGATGCTTTTGCCACCACTATCTGTTCCCGTTCAGGATCTCATGTATTCTGCCTTAAAAAATGTACTTACAGAAGAAGAGTGCAACTCGGACAGCTGTGGGTCTCCTTGATGCCCCCCCACACTTCTTGCCATTGCTGAAATGCAAATGCTAAAGGATGGGCAACCTAGGCACTCCCAGCCCACCCCAAACCCCTGCTCCTTAATACTGTGTTTTCCATAGGTCTGGGAGACTCAGGGCAATTATTGGCCATTCACAAGCAGTGAAAGGCTGGGTGACGAATTTACCCTTCCCAGTCTAGCAACCAGAATGTCACCTTATGGCTTCAGAATTCAACCGAAGCAAGGAAAGGCTTGGGAGAAGGAAACAGGGAATGTGTCTCACTTTTACTGAGCTTCCCAGTGGCTTGCGAAACACAGTGAACTCTTCTGCAAGTTGCTTTTGCTGAGTGCAACATGAAGATTCCTCCTTCTAAGTTTCATTTGAAACATGAACAATGTGAAGAAGAAAATATATTTCAGCACAACATGGAAGTGCAGCGCTGGGAAGAGACCTTTCCTCCACACAGCCCCTCTCCTCCTCCTTGAAGACACTCAAATAACACCACCTTCTCCGTTTCTTTCCCTTGACTATGTGGATGGATTTTGCTGGGCATGAATGGAGTTAAAGCACTATATTAAGTCCATTGTGGAACCACCATGTTAATTCCCCTTACAGCTGAGAGCAGAGAAGTGATGTGTCAGCAACAGCTGAGGAGTCTTTGCATGGAAGTGGCCTTAGAATCCTTCTTTGTTCTTCTCCTTCCATATTGAGTGACTGAGCAAGAAAGGGATCTTGCGGCCGTGGTGGACAGCTTGATGGAAATGTCAGCCCCATGTTCACCTGCTGTGAAGAAGGCAAACTCCATGCTAGGCCTAATTAGCAACAAAATAGAAAACAGAACCACCAAAATCTTACTCCCCTTATACAAATCTTTGGCATGACTGCACTTGGAATATTGTGTTCACTTCTGGTCACCTTTCCTGAGAAAGGACATTATTAGGTTGGAAAAAGCACAGAGAAGGGCTACATAAATGATCAGGGGGCTGGAGCACCTCCCCTGTGAGGAGCAGCTAAAGCAGCTGGGACTGTTCAGCTTGGGAAGAAAGCCAGCTAAGGGGAGACTTAATAGAGGTGTTTAAAATGGTTAGGGTGAGGGTGTGGAGAAAGCAGAGAAGGTGACATTTTTCTAATGAAGTTGTTTGGTGGGAGGTTTAGGACAGATAAAAGAAGTACTTCACACAGTGTACACTACGGAATTTGCTGCCATGGGAAGTGGTGATGGCTTCCAATCTGGATGATTTTAAAAAGGGATTGGAGGAGGAGGCTACCAGTAACTACTAGCTTTGCTGTCTACTGGCCACCTCCTTTACCAGAGGTGACATGCCTGCATGTGCCAGCTGCTGATGAACTTGGGCATGTGGAGGCGTTGCACCCATCCTGCTTGAGGGATCCTATGGGCAGTTGGTTTCCCACTGTGTGTATGGAGTGCTGGGATCAGAGGGACTTCTGGTTTGATCCA